ACTCTTTGCAAAATCTTCATATAACCAGATGGAGGACTTGCTTCGTCATATACTTGGATATGATTGTTATTTGTTTCTGTTTCATGTGTTATATTGTGCACAAATTTGTTCACATAGATACTGAAATTCAGAAGGACCCCATGCTGTTACTCCCTCATTCATATTCGATATCATACTGAGATCACAACCTGATAATTAATCCTCAGATTATGTGCTTAATCATTTTAGATTTCTGTTTATGAGTGGTGAAGCTGAGTAGGTATAGGTTTCTTTGATGCGGAGGCCGTGGTCACATCTCTCTTTATCAAGGGAGTGTCCATGTGTTCAAGTAGCCAAATGACCTGGAGGTCAATCCTCCTTTAACTTGCCGAAAAGAAAAGGAGCGAAGTTGGTTTACATACCGAGTAACCAAGTTAGAACAACGTATTTGTAAGGATTCAGTGGCTATTCAAGACTAGAAGTGATCATTACATATCATTGTCTCCTTTTCTTTTTTGAACACGACCAATATGGTACCCATTGGTGGATTCCAATTTCTGGACATGGTTTTTGCTGTCTACGCGTGAGCAGCAGAAAGTTTGAGGGGGTTTAACGAGGATAACCCGTATGTGAAGGTGGAAATTGCGGAGTGTGGAATCAGCAAATTCCATATTAACATCTTGTTGGGCCTACCTTTATCATGCTTGCACGTCAACACAATCGGCAAGACACGTCTTATTGTTTAATGCTTCATTGCTTTCGCCCCATAATTACGTGTTGTCCAATGATGAATGGATCGACGCGGAGAAAGTTTAGGACTTGGGGGTAGCGGTTATCTGTTGTATCTTCTTACTCTTGTTTGGGAAAATGTGTGATGGGTGCCTCCATGTGAACTTTTAAATATTTGCTAGTAATTTGGTTTATTATATATAGAAATTATTTAACACTATATGTGTTGGACCATTAGAAAATTATCTAAATACATGGAGATTTTGAGTCGGTAATTCTTGATTAAGAGGATAGTTTTCTTATGGAGTAGAGAATGAAATTTGATGGAGGTCTTATATTTCTCCAGGCTCTTCTGGAAAAGAAAATCTTAACACTGTTAAGTGGAGATTAAGGGAGTTCCTATTTTTATATTTTATATGATTAATTTAAATTTAATATTATCAGGATTGAGAATTGATAACTATTAGAATTATTACAAATATTAGTTATTTTGTTTTGATGACTGAAAATTAACACAAGATTTTATTCTTATTAGTTGATTCATATATTTTTATTAGCTATAAAAACCGGATTTTGCAATCGTGTGTTGCCTCTGAGAACAAATTAATGAAATTTAAAATTTCACTACCGATTTTTTGGCAGATTCATCATTCATCTTCAAATTGTTCTTTCCTTTTTTCTTTCCACAGTCTTATTCATCTTCAGATCATTCATTCTTCCTTTTTTCTTCCCAAATCAGGATTAGGATCCTAACAATTTAATACTATGGTTTTTAACTATTTTGCTACTCTAATCTTTTGCAATCCTCTTAGTTCTTACTAATCTCACACTGTAGGCCCTCATTTTCTTTTTTGTTTTTACAAATTTGATTTGAATATTGTCGCAATGGTTTTTAACTATTAGAATTGCAATATGGTGTTGTAAACTTCTTCTTTAGAAAAAGATTGAATGAAAATTTTTCGACGAACCATGGAACAATGCCAACAATTTTGAGTTTATTTTGTTTTTCAGCAAGTTCGCATAGAAAATTAACAAAGAAGCATGAAGAGACAAATAACAAATTGATAGACGAATGATACATAAAATTGCAGGATACTCTTAAGAAAGAAGATGACAAAAACTTTGAATCAAATTTTTGTAGGAGCTATATTTGACTTGTGAAAAGAATATAGAGGATTATTCATATCAAGTGTTTGTAAAAAAAATTCTCTTTAGTAAATGATTCAATTAATTAGCAACTAATGAGATTTAAATGAATTACAAATACTTGACCATTTTTGGAAGGGTACTTGGAATAAATTTGGTGGCTGTTTACAGATTAAAGAAATAATGAGTCAACTCAGTTATTTTCTCAAATATCAGAAAAGATAAACTATAATTTCTACCATGTCATCATCTCTAGGAAGACATTTTGTTGGCACTTTAAAGCAGTGTAGACGAGGGTTTGGTCAGCATCTTTTTTGGGATTGGTGGTTCTCTGTCATGGGAATCAGATGAGAGTTGCACAGTTGCAATTATATTTTAGTCCCAGATGAGACAAAGTACAACAGAAACAGTTGTACGTCAACCTCCATTTTTTTTGTCCATGAAACGCAACTACCATCAATCATAAATATTTTTCTCTTTTACTTTTATTATTTCACCCATTAAATTTTGAAGCCAAGCAGTTCATATATATTTCTTACACAGAATTTTGATAAAAAAAAGGAATGATAAGTATATCATGTTTGTTGAAGAAATTATTTAAAATTACCAAAATTATAAATTATCAATTAATTATTAATTAATATTTATAATAAATTAAAATAAAATAACATTAAATTAAATAGCGATAAATTAGCAATTACAAAAAAAAAATAATAATAATTTTATAATTGTTTGTATATAATCTGTAAAGTGTTATGCATCGGCATTTCTTTTTAATTGAGTAAATTTTTTTTTTTATATTTTTCCTTTTCCAACAATACTATGTGAATCATGTAGTTTTTGTTTTTTTTTTTAATGTTTAATCAATTTTAATATGATGATTGTGGAAATTGTCATATGTGTATGTGTGTGTGTGTATGTATATATATATATTTATCTTTGACTGTAAAAATGGAAAATGTCAAAATTTATATGATTTGACCAAATGAATACTTGAATCAAAATAAAATTATAATGGATATTTTTAAAATAACTTAGAAGGGATATTGCATCATAAAACTTTCATACCATTTAAAAAGTTCGAATAGAATTCTATATTATTTTTAAGTTCGAATACAACATATACTTTTAAATTTAATCTAAATATATATTTATCACTACTGATATATTTAACATCGTAAAAAATTCTCACGTGATAGAAAATGTGCCTATATAAGTATTAAAATTTTAAAATATTATTAGTATGCAAACTCGTGACAGTCACACTAACAACCGCTTCTCTCTTTCTCTCTCAAATTTTTTTTAAATCTCCAAACAATAATAAATTAAATATAAATTTATGGAAAAACCAATAAGAAGTAAATTTAGGAGGAGATCCCTAAAACTAATATCATGCAATATTTTTCGACCTACATTTAAGTACTATTGACACACTTAAAAATAAAATATTGCAAAAAAACATAATAATAATGATAAAACAAATCCCATGAATATTATGTTAATAATTAAATATATTTTCTATCATGTATACAATTTTTCAATAATATTAAATATGTTATTAGTGATAAAAATCTATTCGAATAAAATTTATAAATATATATTCTATTTGAACTAAAAAATAATAAATTAGTTAATTTAAATTTTTTAAAATAATATATTAACTTTTTTTTATACATTATTTTACGTCCAAATAATAATATATTTAAAATAATAATAAAAATATTAAATTGGAAGAGAAAAATAATTTTGTCGTCTCGTCGTGGTGAAAATGGAGTTTCCCTGTGTATAAAACTTCTCCTTTGACCCCGATCCGATTTCTAGTAATTTAAGCTGCTTAAGTTTCGTATTATTATTGGGGCCCCCAAAATTAAATAATAAATAATCGAGCTTTTTCTGGGAAAGTTCAATCCATTGATATTCTCAACTCCATTCTCCCAATTTTTCTTAGCCTGTAAGAGCCCTGGAAATCGTATCCGCAGATGTAAAATCGCTCATCGATCCCGCTACGAAATTCAATCCATAGTCCTCTTCATCTCCCGAAATTCGTCTTGTCTCTTGAGAATAAAAGAGAGCACAGGATTCTTTTTTTTTTTTTTTAAGTTTGTTGTGTCGTTTTCTATATAGCAATGCTTCATAGGAGCTTCAAGCCCGCGAAATGGTAATTTTATTTCTTTTACTTTTATATTTTTTTTCAAATCGAGGAAATACTCGAGTATTGGCAGGAAAGTGTCAATTTCATCTAAACCGATCATAATTGATTTTCTTCTTCTTGTCGTTGGGGGACGCGGGGAGTAATAAGAACGATTTGGATATTGTTTGTTACTGTTTTATTGTTGATAATTGTCAGTTGAAAATCTTGACTGATCTTCATTGTTGTGATGCAGCAAAACAGCTTTGAAGATGGCGGTGTCGCGAATAAAGCTTTTGAAGAACAAGAGGGATTCTCAGATAAAACAGTTGAAGAGGGAATTGGCGAAATTACTCGAGTCTGGGCAGGACCAGACTGCAAGAATTCGGGTACCATATAATCACTGTTCGCATAATTAGAAACTTTGGTTAATAATAATACTGCCCATATGTTGAACTAATTTATGATGCGGGTTATTAAATTTGTTATTGCGGAACCCCTTGGTTTTTTTCGCCTTTCTAGTCTGTCTTTGCTAACGGTGTGATATGATCGCTTATGCTCCTAACACCTTCTTCCTCCAAAAAAATATGGATGGTTTATTGTGGACGGTTTTGTTTGTGACCCTTTGTTGTCTTAAACTTACAGACTGTATTTCATCATGTTAATCTAAATTCAATGCCCTCCTACCTCAGGTGCATATGTTCACTAAGAAATAGAGAATTGCAGTTATCAGTGCAAACAATACAGAATCAGAGTGTTTGTTAGCCCTTCATTTGGATCTTTCATAGATTGAAGCAACGAGAAATTTTTAGCTTCTTCGATTCGTTTTCAAGTATCTATATTTGTTCACATCTCCATGCCCTTTTTCACCACCAATTAACCCCTGTCAAAACAGAATTTTTTTTTTGTTTTTTTTTTCCTCAAGTAATAACAGAAGTTCTCTTGACTTTGCAACCTAGGTGGAACATGTGGTGAGAGAGGAGAAGACAATGGCTGCCTATGATCTCATTGACATATATTGTGAACTTATCGTGGCACGCTTGCCTATTATTGAATCACAGAAGTAAGTTATCCTACATTCTTCAATAACGTTCGCATGCCTTGCTTTAAGAACACAATATTCTTCGTATTCTAAAGGAAAATGTTTGTTCATGGATCTTAGATTCTTTTCCTCTCCTCTCCTCCTTAATGTTTTTCTCAATATCAAGTCATTGGGGGACCACTAATAGCTTTTTGGTGCACTAGCACAAGCTTGTTACCGATAAGAGCTGAACCTCATGATATTGCGTAAAATTGTGATTTATGATCATGGACACTGGTGTTTTCCAGCTCTACGCTTACTGATCTAAAGGTTGCTGGACTTCTACAATTCATTATACAATCCTTGTGCTGGCAGGAAAACTATCTAAAAATTTTATAGATGAAAATTTGCTTATGACATTATTTGTTGTGTGATATAGCAACTTTTTGGGGGTTAGGGAAGAGAGTGTGTAATGAACCTCGCTCATGGTTCATGACTTAGTGGCTGAAGAGAAGAAGGAAAAGAGAGAGAAGGGAAGAAGGAAACTTGAATAGGAATTTAAATTTGAATTTTTTTGTACATCTTCCTCTTGGAGAGAGCCATTTATATAGGCCCGAGGAGGGAGAAAAGGCGCATCCTTGTGTTAGGCGTGTCCTATGTTACAACAGAAAGAAAAATAGAATGGAAACAAGAACTAAATTTTGTTGTTGAAATACCAACAACCCCTTTCCCTTACAATTATTTCCCACTTTGCCCTTCTTCCTCTAGTACACTTTCAACGGTTTCGTCATAATACCTTCCACTTGAATGACAACTTTGTCCTTAAGGTTGAAATTTGGAAATTGTTGACGAATACATTCATAACCTTTCCAAGTCTAGGCGTATGGTGAAGTTCTTCCCCAAAAAATGAAGACCTGTTCCATTTTGTGATCACCACAAAGAATGGTTTTGTGTTGCAACACTTTCTCTATTTGGACACTAACTGTGCCATCCCAATTGCTTGTTGGTAAGTCTTCTCCCTTAATTTCATTGCCAGCAATGTACTTTTTTTAAAAAAAATAAAAAGCATGTTGTATATATTAACATGGTACTAAACGGAGGTACCATCCATGTACAACGAATTTACAATAGTGTTAGAGTATTCGTGACATTCATAAAATTCTCGTCGCTAGTAATGTCATAACCTAAAAAAATAGATCCAAAATAGTGAATTCACCTATTTCTTATTTTGTACACATTATTCTCGACACCATCAAAAACCGTAGAATTTCTTTCTTTCCAAAGAACCCAAAAAACAGTCAATGAAATTATTAGCAATATTGCCTTTTACAAATGAACCATCCCAAGCCCGAATTTCCATACCCACCAACCCAGCCATCACTCATTCAATTCCCAAGAGACCATGCACCATACACGAAAGATTATAAGGCATATGACACCACAGCAACAACTGATTACACGTCTCCTCTGCCAGCAATGTACTTCTTTAACTGGGTTACATGAAAGACCGAGTGGATGCGTGAGGATAGGGATAATTTTAGCATATACACCACAGCTCCGACTTTCTAGATTATTTCAAAGGGCCATAAAATTTGGATAATAGTTTGGAACTTTCACTTTCTCTTATTGACCCCCTTCTTGAATGGTTGAAATTTGAGTAACACTAGGTCATGTTCTTCAAAACTTCTTTTGTTGCGATGAATGTTGGTATACCGTTGGTATGAAGTTGAGCTTTCAACATGTGTTGCTTAATTATCTAATTAGCCTCACCCCTTTCTAGTATAAATGCTTCCTTTGATTGCTAGGGAG